CTGTCGATGAAACCAAATTAGACGGATCGGTTGAAAAGGCTTAGTGCCTGCATAAAGGACCTTAAAACGTGGATGACTCTTTCATCTTTCTACTTTCTACTGCTTAACCCTGAGAAAACAGAAGTGATCCTACTCGGTCCAAAGCGCCTGCGTGACTCCCTCGCCGGCCAGATAATCACTCTCGATAATGTCAGTGTTGTGCCCAGTAACACTGTGAGGAATCTTGGAGTCATTTTTGACAAAAAACTCTTCTTTAAAGCTTATATAAACCAAGCAACTAAAACGGCATATTTCCACTTGCGGAACATTGCTAAAATCAGGAATATCCTTCCTAAAAGTGACACGGAAAAACGAATCCACGCCTTTGTCACCTCAAGGCTTGACTACTGTAACGCTTTGCTGCCAGTGTGCCCTAAAACCTCTTTGAAGAGCTTCTAGCTTGTTCAAAATACAGCAGCAAGGATCTTAACAGGCACCAAAAGGAGGGAGCACATAACTCCGGTGTTAAAATCACTCCACTGGCTTCCTTTGGAGTACAGAATATTTAATGTTTAATGTTTAAAATTCTTCTCCTGGCATAAAAAGCCATAAATGGCTTGGCTCCCCCTTATTTCCAAGACATGTTAATGTCTTATCAACCAAGCCGATGGTATACCGGTGGCAGAGCATTTAGTTACCAAGCTGTGGAATCAGCTCCTCACGCATGTTAAGGAAGCAGACACTGTCCCTACATTTAAGGCCAGGCTTAAAACACTCTTTTTCAACTTAGCATGTGGTTAGATTGTTGTCCGGTCAGGTTTCGTCCGGGTAGGACCCGGTCCGCTGCATCTTCAACCCTACGTTTCAGGTTAGGCTAAAACAGTCCTCTTTAGTTAGCGTATGGCTAGGAAGGTAAGACTCAGGGAAGGCTAAACTCCTTAGACTGTCAGTCAAGCTGCATAGGGAGTCAGTTTGCTGGGAGAAGTATGGTAAATTGAGCACTATCCTCTCCTCCTTCCTACTTTATCTGTGAGAGATGTGAACTCTCACAGAACAGACTACAGGATTTTGACTGTAGTCTGTTCATTGCTGTTCACCCGTTCTCCCATTGTCTGTTTAATGGTACGACGACGGGACCTCTGAGCCTGACCTCCTCCATCTACACCTGCGGACTGCCCTGCCCGACCCGCCTGGGAGTTCTTCAGTCCTGGACCTGTCCACGCTCAGCGGCCGCTGGTCCAGGTTCTGTAGCTTAGGCCCTCGATCTATAGCCCGTCCGACCAGGAGGAGCGAATCCCTTTCTCAATATGGGTCTCCCTGAGGTTTTCCCTGGGTCTCCCCGAGGTTTCTCAGTTTTTCCGACTGGGTTTTCTTATGAGTTTTTCCTTGCCGATGCAGGAGGGTCTGTTGGGCAGTTAGTGTCCAACTAGAAGGACTGTGGTGATGATCCAGGACACGTTAACATTCTACAACATGTATGGACATTATCAACATGTGTTCTATATTCTTTTTGTGTTTTAACTGTTGATTCTCTGATCTGTGTTGGTGATTTAAATGGTTTTGTTAAGTCCTCTGAGATGACTACTGTTGTGATTTAGGGCTATACAAGAATAAATTGTATTGTATTGTATTGTATTGCTGGCAAATCAACAAATTTGTAAAATCCTCCGACACAACTGCTGTTTTTTGATTTTGGGGGGCGGTTGATTTTGAATTGAATGTCATACCTCATCAAAGATCAAAACCATTTTTGTGAACTAAAGTGTGCCTCTTACTAAAAAGTTTGTTTACCCTTGATTTTATGAAATTATTAAGGAAAAAAAAGAAAATACCTTAAATTTGCTTAGATTAAAATAAAATAAAATAGACCCTTATAATAACAAAATAATAATAATATTTTGTCATGTTACATACTCACACATATTTCACAGTCTTGGTATAAATCCTTTATTAAATAATCAGAACAATAATTATAACCATAAAAAGAACATTTCTGTACAAGGCCCCTTGAACACAAATTCAACAGCAGTGCCAAAAACAAAGGGGGCGTGAGTCTGTCCACTTCGGTCCGCAAGCGGCTCTGAAGGCCCAGGCACTTTGAGAAGAGTCCACTGACCAGAGAGAGGAGCGGGTCCATAGTTATTTATACGGAACAACAGTGGATTGTTGACTTCAAATGAATGCAGAACTCAAAACCTGTCAGCAGTACAGAGCCAAACTTCATGTATGAGCTCTTCATAATGGTGTGTGTAAGGGAAGGTTACGCACAGCAGCGGAAATGGACGATTTAATCAGAATGACAAGTCAATTTCAGCTTTTTGTTTTATCCATATGTTCATGTTGGATTATGTCTGTTGGGCAAAAAGCAATATTTTTACATTTGTTTAGACATAAGACTAAACACATTAATTTTAGGAGAAAAAAAAACATTAGGGCTGTCAAACGATTAACCTTTTGGAGGTGGGAACCGCTGTCCAGAGGGGCCGCAGCTGCCCCGGGTCAGAACACTGCGGTCACAGAGGATGCAGAATCACGTTTGAGTTCATTGCAAACAGCAGCAAGTGCCCCGCGGTCATACGCATATTCTTTTAAAAGAGCGACTAAACACCAAATACACTTTTTTTAACTCATAAACTGCATAAATATGTTTATTGTAGTGCTCTCTACATATCCTGGTCATTTTTTTGACATTTTAGTGCAAATTAGATAAAATCTCACTTTTGAGCCTAAAAACGTCTGTGTGGCGCCCTCTCAACCTTTTCGGTGGTACTACATTTGAATTTGGTCCTGGCCTCTCCATTGACTCTGTAATTCTGTGTGATGCAGTTGGTATGTGTGACGTGCGTCTGTCTGCGCCAGTGATATAAACCCATTCAACTCTCACACACACCCCAGCAGCAGGTTGGAGTATTCTGGCGAAATCTAGTGGATTAAAATTAAATTACATGAGTTGACAGCCACTTCCACTGAGATAATTCAGTGACTTACGTTCAGGTGCGTAGCTTTACAATTATCTTAGTGTGTAAACAAGGGTGGAATGAGACTTTCTGGTCTGTAAACTATTGCTTTAAGGAGCAATGACAACTGTCTGTTTTTTTCCGTGTGACTCGTGAGCTGTCAATCACAGCCCAGACCAAGCCCAACTCTAAGCCCTCTTCTTGTCCCTTGGTCCTCCAGGCAACGCCCTTTTTAGAGAAAATCTTCAAATATTCATGTGGGCAGAGTAAGGCTGGTCACAGGTGTTTAGTCGCTCTTTACACTTGAATTCACAGAGGGCCTGCCTGCTCTGTCGCCATCACTCGCATGTGTCCACGTTATTATGGGATGCATGGGCGGGTCATTCAGTGTATAAGTCAAATGCGTTTTTAAACAAATTTATTAACAAGCGTTAACGCGATAATTTTGACAGCCTTAGTATATATATTTAAATCCAACAAGCCAAAAAAAAACAAGTCCATTTCCAGCTGCATAACCTCAGCTCCCACGTTTGCTAACTATACAGCATATGAATCCATTTGTGTTAAAAAGGTGACAGTGAGCATGCGACCCTCTCCTTCTCATGGCTTCAGTCCAATCAGAGCTTTCAAAAACATCAAAAAATCACTTTAAAAAAATGTCCCAACGTTTTTGAATTTCTAGGGGGTAGGTCCTTACATCCATGGCTTTTAATACGCTCCACACAGCCTCATTGTTTCAACTTTTCAATGTGCATTTTTGGGATCCCATCTTGACAAAAAAACAATAGTTCTTTGAGCATCTCTATCGCAATCCATAGGTTGCAAAAACTCGTTGACAAATCTGCCATTCTGCAATGTAAACAAGACAAGGAACAACAAAAAAATAATACAAACAAAAGTTTGTTCAAAAAATTAAGAAAATTACAAAAAGCTCCATTGCTCCTAAGTCTTTCTACCACATTGGCATCAACGGAAAACAGTGTAAGGGAAGTCTATCTATTCTAAAAACACCACAGAAGGAGAAGTTGGGAAAATGACAAAAAATGGCTGGACATAGCATCTATCTATTGACCAGTTTTTGCCCACAAGTTCTAACTTCTACAGTCTTTCCAAAATAGCTAACAATATCCAAACATTTATCAACACTTTTCCAGGACGAGTGATATGTAGACAATTCATTTGAGGCCTTAGAAAGCAGACGATCTTTCTTTGTGATAGAAAAACCCAAGAAGGATTACTCAGCTTCTGAAGTGGTTTGAGGCTTGTCCATTAACCTACGCAAGCACCGGCAATAGCAGCGTCCGTAAGTGTCCCATATTGACTCCAAAAGTACTCTCAAGATGGCTGTGGTTGCTTGTCACATTGGCAACAGGTCATTGCTGTGTTGTCTATTTGAAATATTGCCGCAAATGGGTGTTTTGACGTTTTTCTCTCTGTTTATTTTTGTTGAAATGGCTAGAATTTATTTGTTCTGAAGACAAAGATTTTAAGATTTCATACATTCTTGGTGGAATTGGTGGCAGTTTAGTTCTGCTTGGGTTTGTCTGGTGAGAAAGTAGCGTCGCAAGAAGTCTTCACAGCTAAAATGAACGCTTTTTATTGGCATAGCATCCATGCCATTGCGCTAGTAGTGTTAGCGGAAAACCAGCTATTTCCAATAAGTTGCAAGTTTTGAAGTAAAGACTAACTAACTAAAGGCGAACTGGCTTTGTTGGCAAAATCGAGCTACAAAGTTGTCTGCCATTTTTCTAATTTTCTGTTAAGAATATCTGGTTGTAGCAATGTTGGCATAATCTGGCCGCTAACTTGATAACGTCTCTCACTTTGAAGTCCTTTTTTGGGAAGTTTTCATGAGCAGCAACATTGGTAACGTCTTGAGTCACGTTCTTGGTGAAAGCAGATGGTTAGTTTCATCACCGTTTAGTGTTAAACTGAGGTAAAATCGTGTTTCGAAGTCCAAATTCTGACACTTTCCATGACTATGCAGCAGCAATTCTGTCTGCCATTTTTCCAATAATTCTTGTGAGATTTCTCGTGTTTTGAAGTCCAGTTTTGGCCGGATCTTCACGCTTCCGTACAGCAGCGTTGTTGGTTGAGCTTCACCTTGTGCTTGAGTCCGTCGTAGAGTTCGAAATTGTAGTTTTCGAGGGTGGTGGAGGAGCGCGTGGAGAGGCCGCTGTACGAGCATGTGCAGTACAGAAGAAGCCCCGCGCACACGGCTCCTAGCAGCACGCCCAGCGACGACATGACGATGATGGTGACCAGGATGGGGTCCAGCGTGTAGAGCCAGGAGTTGTCCTTCTCCGAGACCAAAGTGACGGGAAGGTCTGAGGGGGACGGAGTGTTCCAGTCGGAGAACGGGAGACCTGCGAGAGAAATGACGGATCATAAACAACAAAACATTTAATGAAATTTAAGGCTAAGCTCGGCAATTGTATGTATATAGCCTCTGCTTAGACTGCTCTCCTCGTGACCCGCCAAAAGATAAATAAAATGGATGGACACAGAAACTCCTCTTATGACTCTGATCCAAACTCTCCATACCCTGGTTCTCAATAGAGCGTTTTTGTAAATTCCTGGGCTGTCTTGCATGAACTGCAGATGTGAGATCTCCCATTGACACTAGATGGATTCACACAACAAGATCTAGAGTTTGATGGATGCTTGTAGGTTGTGTAGTGTAGTGCGTGTGTGTGTGTGTGTGTATAAAGTGTGCATGCATAAATTCTACCTCCATTGAGAGAGTTTCTTCCACTGATGAGTCGACCGTCTCCAGACTCCATTGATTTTCTCACCTCTAAAAGAAAAGGCAATATTTACCCATTGAGCTCTCACAGCCACACACACATATGCAGACACACACAGTCTAAACACAACATTTACCATTGATATGACTGCAATAGAATGAGACGGCCTCCATTACCATATATATGACTTGCGCCCAGTTTAACCTCACCCATAGATAGTATACAAAACACACAACACACAATATTAATACAAAAATAGGATTTAATTGTCGACAAAAAGACTGTAGTGATCCACTTTAAGTCAAACACACTGTCACATAATCACATACTATGGCATAAGACTGTTCATTCAGGAAAGGAAGCACAAAACCAGGAAAGAGGGACAAAAGCCCTGTTTCTACCAGCACTGCTCTGCTCTCATTTAACCAGTACTAGGTCCTTCTTTAGTCCCTCTTGGCCCGGGTTCTATCGAGGCCAAACTGGAACTTAAGTGTTCTAACTGGCAGTGGTTGGCCAGAGTGAAGCCTAAACCAGGACTTAATCAGGTCAAAATCTCTACTCCATTCTACTCTTATTCACTAGCCCCATTTAACCCATACCAGGTCCTTCTTTAGTCCCTCTTGGCCCTGTTTCTATCCAGGCCGAGCTGGTACTAAAGTTTTCTAACTGACCAGAGTGCTGCGGGTAGCCATGGTTACCAGGAAACTTCCCATGATACTGGTTTGTTGTGGGTGGGTTGCTAGGATACGGTACAAGGTTCTAAAGCGTAATGGAAACACAATCAGGTAGAGTAGAGCTGAGAGAAGTAGATTAGGGCCAAGCAGGGCTGGTGGAAACAGGGCTAGACACTCCACTGAAAACAAATGAGTAGATTTGTAGCAGTTTTTTGGACTCCCTAGGTTCTTACAGCAGGTCTATTCAATTCAGAATAGAATCAGGCCCACGGAACAATACAAACCGGCCCCAAACCCATACTCACTGCAGAAAGGGATACGTATTAGGAAGTACGCTCTTATTTTTGTCTTGGTTCAAGAACATTTTGACAATTTCCCCAAAGTCCAACCAGGCCCAAATTAATGCAATCTAAACCAGTACTAAAACAATACTGAAGCAGGACTTAACCAGGACTAAACCAGGTCCAAATAATTAAAGCACGCCTAAACCAGGACTGGATCGTTCCTAGGTGAGAACAAGTTGAATAGCCCTGCTTTAAACAATATCAAATCTCATGCAGAAGAGATAGACTTGGTGAAACCTTTTCTTTCCAACATGAAGCCATCAAAAAGTAAAGTTTGGAACCGTATTGGCGTAGCTTTCAAAGTCTGATGCATACATATTTATTTTTTTCAAATCCCAGAGTAAGAATAAGACAAGGCTTGGCAACAGTTTTGGCCCATACCAGCGCAGTATACCGGCTAAAAAACTGCTTACTCTAGCTTTAATAAATGTTATCATCCCATTAACTAATTACAACGATTAGCGGATTGGCGTGTGAGAACGGGAGGAGGTTTAAAAGCATTGAGTTGGCGCGTGCCAAGAGGAAGTGTCTGCGGCTAAATGGGGACAAATTGAAGTAGGTTTTTTGCTGATAAAGAGCAGGTGGAGCTTTGCTGACGTCGCACACTGGAGTTTTTAATGTAGTTTTTGTACTTAGGCATATTGTACAGCGGGGCAAATTTAATTTGCTAATACCACAACAGCCGCTGCATTCACTTAGAGAGCAATTCCCCCAAAGACTTTTTGAGTGACATTTATAACTCCAAAGATTTAAGTGGAAAATAGTCAGATATTTGCACATTGATGTAATTTAGCAGTAATCAAAGCTGGTTGTACCTTTAAAACTACAAAAAAATGGAACTACTTGTAACTGTAGCCTCGTTTCCATCAGCCCTACTTACTCTAACAGTGTTTAACCAGTCCCAGGTCCTTCTTTAGTCTCTGGTTCTATCCACTTCAAGCTGGTACTAAAGCGTCTTAACTGACAGTGATTGGCCAAACTGCTGCTCGAAGCCAAGGTTAAGAAGGAATTTCCCCCGGATACTGGTTTGTTGTGGATAGGTTGCTAGGACACAGTACTAGATACTAAAGCAGAAACACGAACAGGAACAGTAGAGAAGGGTAGAGTAGAGCAGAGCAGAGCCGAGTAGAGTAGAGCTGGTGGAAACAGAGCTAAAAGTTCCTGCCTCTAAACTGTTTGGTTCAATATATATTTTCATCTCTGTCACAATCTTTAGATTGTTTTCAGACAGAAAAGTAGAATAAGAGAGGACTGCCCTCACCAAAAGTAAAAGGATAAAGCAAAAGAAGATGGATGGATTATTTGCGATTAATTGATTAGCTTGGTACAGCCCAAAAACCCACACAATCACAGGGAGAACATCCAAATTCCTCTCAGAAAGGCCCTGTTTTGAGATGAGCTATGAGATATAATCCAGGTATGGGTAGCCTGGTCGTACCACACCATAGTACAAATTACATTTCGTACTAAGGCCTGGAGGTGCTCCACTGAGCTCCGTTAACAGGTGGGAGGGGTTAACTTCTTTTGCAGATTGAAACAATTGGATCTGAGTTTACCGTGACGTATGTAATGCACCCAAGTGAGCCGTTAGCGGCAAAGGAGATGGCTAGGCTAGTAAGTAAGTAAGTAAGTAAGCTTTATTTATATACCGCCTTTCACAGACCAGAGTCACAAAGCGGTTTACAATTGTTATTTTTTTTTTTTTTTGGGCACTTGTCCTCTCACTCCACACAGAGACGGGAGCGGGGTCGCCGAACAGGAGGCGCATGCCAGACCTATTGTACATATTTTTAGTGGTAGGGGAAACCGGAGTACCCGGAGGAAACCTACGCAGACACGGGGAGAACATGCAAACTCCACTCAGAAAGGCCCTGGTCCGGCCGGGATTCGAACCCAGGACCTTCTTGCTGAGAGGCGAGAGTGCTATCCACTCAGCCACCGTGCCGCCCACGGTGGCTAAACGCTAACAGAGCCCGTCGGGAGTACCGCCACAATCTTTGCCAGCAATGACTTTTGCTATACATTCCTCTTGCTCAGGCTTACATTTTTTTGATAGAACCAGACCGAAATACTTTACTATTGCATTCTTCACCATTGCCAAACTACAACCAGACCGTTCGGCACAAACTCTTGACGTCACCCACATCTAACTACAACACCTGCCTCCCGCGCTCGCCGATTGGTCGGATGGAATTCAACCGATATAATCGCAAACACAGGAACCAGACCCAGACGTTACATGCAGTGAAATGATGATTGACTGGAGTGTACGAATGGCTATGGCCAGGCAAAGGTATGGGGACAATGGGACCAATGTGCACAAGCATTTTGCATCATATTTGCCTTATTCAGAGGGAATAATAGCGAGTTTCTTTTGTTTTGTGATGGAAAAAGTTCCGGATGATGACATCACTGTTCTAAACGATGATATCACTGCTCTGGATAAAGACTGAAAATGTCTCACAATTTTGAAAGCGATTGAGTTCAGATGCTGTGAAACTTTTCTCTCAGAATCCTGCTCTAATCCGTCAGACAGATTGGGCTCTCGCTGTGGAGTTTGCAGATAACATCCTCCTTATGGCTCCCAGCTGCTCCTGGTGCATTGTGGGAAATGTAGGATTATAAATCAGCCCTGGAGCACATGACGGATGACAGTTGGCCATTTTTACGCTACGCTCTATGAAAACAAAACAAAACCAACGCGTGTGGAGCCAACATTTATTTGTCATTAAAGCTGGGGAACGTAACTCTAAATCCCCCAAAAATATTTCTAATAAAATCCATGTCACTAGTTCCTGGTTCTAAAACGTTGCTTCTATCTCTAGTTTTCATGTAATGCTGGCCTTTGTCACATCTTCAGATCAGATTTTTCCAACAGAAAAATGAAAAAGAGAGGACCACCCTCACTCAGCCAATCAGCTCTCAGCCCAAAGAGTCAGATAGTGACTCACAGGGCTCTTTCTTACAGGTATTTCTAATATGTTTTTGGATCAGAAGAAGACAGCATATTGTGGTCTGGTTTGTTCACAACATTTTACTTTTGAAAGACCATAAGACTCTTAAGCACTAACACAATGTATAAATTCCATCCACCTATTTTCATCCGCTTTATCCGTTGCCGGGTTGTGGGGGCAGCAGTCTGAGCAGAGACACCCAGACTTCCCTCTCCACACACACGTCCTCCAGCTCATCTGGGGGAATCCTGAGGCGTTCCCAGGCTAGCTAAGACACATTTCCTTTCGCGTGTCCTGGGTCTTTCCCTTAAGTCTCTTCCTGGTGGGACATTTCCGGAGGCTCTGACTACAGACGCTGCTCCCTCTTATCTCAGACAAGTTGGAGGAAACGTGTGGAGGGGGAAAACTTCACATTTCTGCTCTGACTGCTGCCGGTGCGACCCAACAACGGATAAAGCGGAAGAGAATGGGCGGATGGTTAAAATAAATGACAAATGTAATGCTATTGTTTTCCATACAGATCAATGGCTTCCATCAACTGTTTCCCATTACATCATTGCTTTGACTTCATGGCCTAATGTGAAATAATATTGTAAACATTCATTGGGTTATCTTGAACTTTGAGAGGATGGCATCACATAATCAGATCTAACAGATGCATCTAAGAGCGAGCTTCCTATAAGCTGCAGCAGTGACACGCTTAATCGAATCCACTTTACAAGAAACGCCGAATATCTAGCTACTTCTGACCAAACTGACTCAACTCAGTAGTATGTAGAGAACTAATATACCGCAAAAGTCTGTGTGTTTTGATCATAGACTTATAGAATTATTACTATTGTTGTAACATTAGTTAATGTTTTCGTTTGTATCGATGGATGGATGGATGGGTTGCTCAAGCTGGACACTTGAATTTCTCCTACGGAGGATAAATAAAGTCTATCTATCTATCTAACACTATGGCCATCACCAGTGTTAGCCTTTATGCAGAAGTGAACATAAGCTAGCTGAAGTAAATTTCCTTAAATGAGCAATTGTTGCGACAATGTTAGCTTTGTGCAGTAACAGGGACAGACGTGTTGCAAGGACGGTCCACTGCGAGTGAAGGCATGTGATTGCTCAATCCATACATGGCTCATATATGGATATACAAAGACAATATCACAATATTAACACCAGGATCACAGAGAGAAATAAACTACAGATTTTTTAAAATCCCAAAATGGTGAGTGTGACACAAACGGTTACTGAGGTAGAGAAGCATTAGTCCATAGGGGCCAGAACGTGGTGGTGCCAAATGAATCAGTTTTTTGTATTGGCAAATCCTCTCACCATCTAACCAACTCCAGTTGTCTCGTTTTGAACTACAGCCGTGAAACTTGTTAATTATCGAACCTCGAACTAAACTCTAACTACTACAAACAAGTCATTTGAACGAGAAGGATTCTCTGAATGCGTCTGAGAAGAGCCAGGTTTTGTCTCGCCGTTTGAACCAGGCTTTGTCTCACCGTTTGAAGCCGGCAGAGATTGCATAACGGCCGCTGGTTTGGGACCAAAACGTATCAGAAAACCTGCCCAGCGTTGCCAGATTCCACACGTGACAGTAGTCGATGCATTCATGTCTCTCCCTTGTCTCTCGGAGCTGGTTTGAGTCGTGTTCTGGCACAAATACACACAAAAAATCCATATTCGACATGGGTTTTTCAAAAGCAGAGTCCACCATGTTGCCATCTCCAGTCTGTCCCACCCATGGGCACAGGAGGCGTGGTACGTGGACTAAATTCACGTGGGCTGCCCAGAAAAAAAGTCCCATAGAACTCAATGTAAACTAAACCAGCTCAAACTCTGCTCGTTTCCTTCCCGCTCTGGCTCTTCTCTACTACTGCTCTGATCAGCAGCGCTGATAAGTCAAAGCGCGGCCGAGCCCCTCTGTGCACGTGCATGGGAGCCACACACCCATATTTGGCGCAACGCATCATGGGAGCTCGTCCACTGCGCAGAACCGGGAGGATCAGACGATGCCCAAGTATAGGCGAGTTCCGCTAATCTTTCGGTCCCCGTTTAGTGCGCTACTGAGCACAAGCCATTCATTTGAATAGGGCGGTATCTTGGATTGCCAGGGCTTGGTCACAGGTTCCGCAGATTTAGAATAATGGAGGGAAATAGAATGATTTGAATCTATCTGATTTAATCTTCCAGCTCAAGTTGTTATATGGGCCTTGTTGAAATTACTATACCTGTAATAATTTCAGAAGCATTGACTCATTTAGATGTAGTAAACAAGACTTGGTGGTATTGCGATTGAGTCAGGTGAACTGACTAGGTTTGAATCTATTTGACACTAGAACTCCCAGAGTAGTCAATTTGATGGCTTTTTGTTTTGTAATTACTCTGTGTCTGTACCTTTGTGGTCTTCATAACTTTGTGAATGTTCTGTTTCTTTCTGTTTATGTCATTATTTTTTATTATTATCTTATTATTAAATGATCTAATTATCTTATTGTTATCTAACTCCCAGACCAGTAATTTTGACCGCTGCATTCAGTTAACTGTATAATTCAAATGTAGTTGTCTCTGGCAGTTTAATCTCCTTCGGTCACGGTGGTCCTGGACTAGTTCTGGTTCAGCTTAGTTCTCCACCAGAGAGAGCTAGAGATAGTTAATGTAAACAATGACCTTAACCCAATGGACGAATGCAGACATAACATGGAAGTGAACAGGTCATGGCAATTCCAATTTTGCATTTGTTGTTTTGACCATAAGAACAACTTTCGATGTGACGTGATATGACGTAAAATTGTACTATATTGAAAAGACCTGAACAAACGCTGGACAAACTCTGTAAGAACTCTGAAATAAATATGTGCTTCTGAAGCATTGTCTCCATTTTTTACTTTACCATGGCAACACACATTTACGTTTACATTACAGCAGCATTTCTGTTTTGCTATATTGTAAGATCTATTCACTTACAGTAAACTAATGTTTTTTTCAGATTGATCTATTGGTTTTAATGGGGGCCGTCAAAACGACGACTCTGGGAATTCTAGCAGTTCAAGAAGTTGGGAGTCCTGGTGTAACTGGGCCCATATAGAATGACAGTGTTAATTTGAGTAGTTTGGTTTAATCTTGGTCTAAAATGCGGAAAAGTCCACCTCGTTGCCATGTCGAGTCTGTTACACATCTCGTGCATTGAAACCTGTTAGAAATAGATTAACAAAACAAATAACTATTAAGAGTTGTGTTTAAAATCCATTACAGAATTTTAGATGCAGCATAGAGTTTTTGTGGAGCCGTCCAACAACCATAGAGTCCTTTTTCTTGTCCAATCACGTGCCACCGTCCCTCTGCTCACGGGAAAATGGCCGATGGTTTGGTTTTAGGTGAGGGCTACAGGCAAAAGTAGAGAGTTCGACCATTTTCCCACAACTTCTGGCACAAAACTGGAGCAGCCAAAGAAGAGAAAATACCAAAAAGAGGAAGCAAGTATATGGTATTGGCAGTTTTGATGGCGATAGATCCCAAAACTAAAACCCAACAGAAAAGTATCAAGAATTTGGCGACAATTTGGTTTTGAGAGATTTTTGTGAGGATTATTCTGCTATCCACTGACATGTTGGGTTTGACAAAGCAAGACGGCAGTTGTGAGAAAGATAAATTGTTGACAGAAATTCTCCAAACAAAAGTGAGAGGATTGGAATAGAACTAAAATAGAACTTATCTGAATGTTTCCTGATACAGTGATTTTAAAAACCGTAAAACGAAATACAAAAAAAAGGTTGAATCCAGCAAAACGAAAGTCCAATCCAAGTCCATGGGTTAGAAGCTCAAAAACAGTCAATTTTGCATATGTGTGTCCGTGAAAGAAACTAGAAAAGCGAAACAAAAGTCCAATGGAAACGCTGCATGCCCTGATGTACAGAAGCGTTCCGAAAGCTTTGAGACTTAGAGAGTCCTAGAAGAAAGTTTGGAGCTTTGCCCAAGTCCTATTTTAGCGTGGGATTCTAGCAGAGGGTCCTGTGGCGGTCTCGGCTGTCCAACCTAACAGTCAGCACTGGCTCCACCCCGGGCGTGGCCATACTCGAGGCCCAGTTAGCATACTGGAAGCACTGGGACGAGCTGTGATAGGCCACAGAGAGTTGGTTCTTCTTTGACGCAGCCAGGTGTTGTCGGCAGCAGCACAGCGCTCGAAGCAAGATGGCCGCCGCCAGGAGAAGCAGGGCACCTCCGGCGGCCATTATGTAATACCAGTGGATGGGCAAGGGAGGCACGGGCACACCTCCCCCTGGTGGAGAGAAGGAGAAGGAGAGTTGGCCGAGAGGGAGACAGGGGAGCGTGGCGTGTGCAGGCAAAAACACTGCAAAAACTCACAGCTATGAGTTTGAATGACTTGGAATTATAAGAGTTGGTTCAACTTGTTTAGATTAAATCACTGCATTAGAATGATATTAATTCATAGCATGGATTTGAATAGGTCATACTAACTCTTGACTTATTATTCCAATTTAAGAAGCTTCAAGTTGTTTTATGGGCCTAGTTGAATCTACTATAATGAGATTTAGTGATGGTCTCTCTCTCTGGTCCTTCTCTAATCTCTCTCTAGTCTCTGGTCCCTCTCACTGGTCTCTAGTCTATGGTCTCTATCTGATCTCTCTCTAGTCTCTTTCTTTGGTCTCTCAGCCTGGTCTCTCTCTAGGGTCTCTCCTGTCTCTCTCTGGTCTATCTGGTCTCTCTCCCAATAATAACTAATTTATATTATATAAATATGAACTAATTTAGATACTGATTTAAATCTATGTAATGGGCCACTTAGATATACATCTTGGTGAGTATGTTCAAGTTGAGTGTTCAATACAATAGGGTTGTCAATATGTTATAATAACAGGTGAATTCCAGTGTACGATAAAACAATCAACCAACCATTTTAAACTCAAGTCTCTATGTGTTTTTGCAGTGCACTCATGCTGGATGCAAAATGAAAGACATTCTCCAAGGCCCAGGAATGAAAGTGAAAAATGCATCCACAAATGCTGCAACTTAGTTTGTCTCTGGTCAAAATCTTTTGCACCAAATCATAATGTGTTGACAATTTTTGTCAGTCTAATGCTACTTTCCAATCACATATTTCCAGAGAAAGACGAAATGGTGTGAAAAGCGCAGCCAAAATCATTAGTTTAAGCATCCACACAGCTTTGCCGAGCCATGCACAAGAGGCCAGCGGAGCTACATCTTTATCGTGAAGATAAAATATTGTGTTTTTTGGGAACTCCTCTGAAAACACTCTCTGCCAACTCTCTCTGCCTCCACCTTCTGCTGCAAACACAAGACTCAAAATCAGAATTCAGAAGCACTGATGTCAGCGCAAGTTATTAATCAGTGGATATTTTTTCCTTTGAGCAAAAACGCAGTCAGTCACAAAGTAAAATAGGCCAACTAAACACTCTCTGGTCTCTCTCTCTAATCTCTTGCAGTCTCTCTTTCTCTGGTCTCTCCCCCTCTGCTCTCTCTTTCTGGTCTCTCTCTTTGGTCTCTCACAAAGTAAAATCAGGCAACCAAATCAATAAAAGCAGGAAGGTACCAGGGGAGGTGGGAGCGACGGCTACGCTAATGCAAATATTATATGGGAAACAGCTGTAGCAAGGTCAGCAATTTGTGAAGAATCAATGCATGGTATTATGGCACATTCTGGTTGCCTCGCCCAACGTCAGTCTGCCCAAGGTCAACTATGGCTGCAGAAATAGTTTATCACTTCAGTGAAAGAATTATGCCATGTGAAGCGTCTATGAATCTCCAAAGTCTTGCTTCCCTATAAAACCACCAAAGCTTATGTGTCAGAGGCCAAAAACACATGAGGAAACTAGTGATATATGCAAACTGTTCTAAGACCGATATTGCAAATTGTTCAAAAGTCAATTTTAATGTACCAACTATCTGATCAAACAGCCCCAAAAATACAGCTTTCATATCTCCATCTTTCAAATCCTCCTATTGACTCCTATTGAAAAGTAAACCCCTCTTGCTCAGTAACCGTTTGTGTCACACTCACCATTTTGGGCTTAATAAAAGATTGTCTTTGTAACTCCAGATATGAGCCATATAAGGACTGACAAATGCATCCAATTGCGGGGTAAACTCTTTAACACTTCGGAAGAAATGTCCATATAAAGAAATTGGCTCCAGGTAGCTTATGTTCAAATCGGCTTCTTCTAAGGCTCACACTATGGTGATTTCACACTCAGTCCACAATACATATATATATATATATATATATATATATATATATATATATATATATATATATATATATATATATATATATATATACGCTCTATGGAAGCTCCATGGAAGCTCCATGGTGCTGCAGAGGGGGGTGGGTGGTGTGTGTATGTGGCCCAGATCGGTGAGCTGTGGCTGGGTTGAGAGTGTCATGTAATTACGGAGGGAAATGGTGCGTGGGAGAAGTCTGTCTGTCTGAGTGCTCAGTGGGGGAGATGTGGGGGACTGGGATCTTGTGTCGACGAGTTATCGGCTCCAAATGAAATCACACAAACGTTTCTGTCAGCTACATGATCCCTTCTCTGTCTTCATCCCACCACAATAAACAATTTATAAAATACAAATAATCATGAATAGTCATTTGTTTTTAACCTCACATGACTCTTTGTGCGTTTTACCATTCCTCAATTTAAGCCATACAAAACATGGGACAATTTTAAAACTGGGGTACATAACTTTTTTCAATATATATATATATATATATATATTAGGGCTGTCAAAATGATCACGTTAACGCACGTTGATTTTTTTTTTTCATTAATCGTGTTAAAACATTTTACGCTTTTAACGTATGTACCAAATGACCCGCCCATACATCCAAAATTAACACTCAGAATGCCGCGGACACATGCGTGATGGTGACAGAGCAGGTAGGCCCTCTGGGAATTCAAGTTAAAAAAGAATACACGTGTGACCGCGGGGCACTCACATTACGCGCCGCCGTAACGTGAAAGACCATCCATACACTCACAGAACTATTTTTTGCTTGTTGTGTCCATGTCTTTGCGTAAGTTGTGTGTATCACACCTCTGAAGCTGAACTATGGAGCCAGGAAGTGTCCGTGTCTCCTCCCGCTTCGAAACTACACTCACTAAATTAAAGCTGGGGTACCTAGTTTTTCCACAGCCTTTATGAGACAGAGAAAAAGAAGAAAGAGGAGGCTTGGGCTGAAGCGGATTATGTCAAACTGAAAAATACTGTCTACAGAAAGACAGAATGTTAATAATGTGAATGCCATTTATATGGATTTATTGTTGTTCTAATAAACAAATACAGTGCATATGTACACTATGTTGACATTTATCTTTCCATTCAAACAACCATTTACAGAAATATATGGCATAATTTTGCAGATAGCTAGAAATGCAATAAATTACGATTAATAAATGTTTAAGCTGTAATTAACACAATAATTTTTTTTATTGTTTGACAGCCCTAATATATAATATATATATATATATACAGTAAAAAGATAAGACCACAACTTGCTGTCTTCCTCTTATTAGAGTCAGATAGACTTTTTGGGCTGAGAGCTGATTGGCTGAGTGAGGGGGATTCTCTCCTTTTCACTTTTTTGTCTGAAAAAGATGATCTAATTATGTGAAAGAGGACAAAAATACATGTGAAAATTAGAAGTATTCACCTAATATAGGGTCCATGCTTTAAACTTCGTTCCCTATATTTTCTTATGGCGGGTTATTTTGAGAACACATCACCACTGCGATAAACCAGGGATGCAGTAATAGTGTTGTCCAGTTTAGAATGGTTTGACGAGTAGAAGTAACAAAACATACACAATTGCTCAAAACTCAGCTCAATCTCTGTTAGTTTCACAACCAGCGGTCTCTTCTTTCTCTTCGGCCCCATTTTAAGCAGTGACATATTAGAAAAGTATTCTTATTCTGCAATAGAAGCTTACATTTACATGCGCTTCGCTAACACAACTATAAATATTGATCCAATGACCAGATATCGCCTGGCAGCCTCATTCTGTTGCAGCCAAACAAAACAGACCAGGAAGTAAAGCAAGACAAAAATAAGGAAGTGGTGTGTGGTGAAACTCACCGGTGACTTCTGGAGAAAAGGCAGCGATGGGTTCTGCAGAGATGTGAGAGAGGACAGAATACAGCGTGAGATAGAGTGCTCAAAAAGGCAAAGAAAATGTCAGGGAAATGTCAGAGAAAAAGAGGAAATGTTTGCACAGAAAGATCAGAAAGTATATGGCAGTAACGGCGAGATTTCTGTCTGAAAACTTGGGATTTTTTGAGAAGATAAGATAAAGGTAAATGTAGTGATCTTGCAATTTTAATTTTAGCATGAAATAGAGAGAAGAGAGAGAGGAACCAGAGAGAGAGAGACCAGAGAAAGACAAGAGAGAGAGATTGAAGAGAGACATCAGAGAGAGAGACCGTAGAGCAGGCATGTCAAAGTCAAATACATCAGAGGGCCAAAAAAAAAATGTTTGCTACGCTCCGAGGGCCGGACTGGTTCAATGTTTCTCAACATCCAGAGGCAGTGCCGGTGACACCTGTTGGCTCGATAAAATATGCTCCAAAGCCAATCCTCATACTGTACATATTAGATGTAATAGACATCTGAGAACATGAAAATAGTAAAAAAAGATAAAGCTCAAACTTGGTGAAATGTAAAAGAGCAGTCTGGACCTCTTTTCGGGGCGTTTTTTGATTGAATCTGAAGAATGGATTATACTTTGGGAAATACAAGTGGATGTTCTTCTTCAATGAACAGTTACGGAGAGAAAGAGACTAAGCAAGGATGGGGAAAGTCTAATTTGTTGGAGCAGCAGAAGACGAAAGGTAAAAAACAAATACAGACCGATTTATTTTGTGCCCATATTATGCGTTATATCTTTTTAATGCAAAGTCTGATATCGTTTACAATTACATATAAATATAGCTGAGAAAATAAGCTTTAAAATGATATATAGCTTGTGGCTTATGAAGTTCAAAATACATCTGCTATTGCCAGCAGAAGTATTTTTTTCCTCGTTTGCTCCCGCCAGCGGGAGCTAGCGAGCTTAAGGGGTCAATACATTGCCTCAATGGCAGGCAATGTCCCGGGGGCCATAGATAATTCATTCGCGGGCCTTGACTTTGACACATGTGCCGTAGAGAGACCATTACTGTATATACATATACAGTAATTCATCAGTTTATGCCAGTTTAAACCAGTCTCTCACTTGTAGTCACATGGTTAACATTTCAAATAAAGTGAATTCTCCTTGATGTGTGTCCTTTAAAAATAGAACTTCCACGGACTCGCGGGGGCGAAGCCGCTATTTCAACTTGTTTATCGTCCGCGTCCAGTTTCTGACGGGAGAGAATTTCCTGGCGGCGGAGGCGAAAAACCTTGCGTCAGACTTTGATGAGCTGGAATGCAAACAAGACGGAGAGAGTGCTGGAGAACTGAGAGGGAGAAGCGTCTCGGGAGTGAACTAGAGTGTATGTGGCGGCTGATAAGGGGGTTAGCATGGGAGGGGGGAGAGTCACTTACAGGAGCAGCCATGTTAGCTAGGTCTGTTTTATAGCTGTTTTCACCAGCCCTACTTGGCCCTACTTTACTCGGCTCTACTCTACCTAGTTGTGTTTCCATTACACTTTAGCTATCCACCCACGAGAAACCAGTATCTGGGGAAATTCCATGGTAACCATGGCTTCCAGCAGCACTCTGTTCAAGTCAAGAGGGACTACAGAAGGACCGGTTAAACATAGAGAGAGACACTCACACACACAGAGAGACATGGAGAAAGAGAAAGAGAGAAGGAGAGAGAGATACAGAGAGCGAGAGAGAGAGAGAGAGAGAGAGAGACGCAGAAAAAGACAGTATGGTAGTATGGTATTGTCCTGTACTTACGCGTGCAGTCATCTAGGGGGCTTCCTGAGCTGATGTGGATGTTGTCGATCCAGATGTGACCGCGAGAACCGTGGTCAAAGAAGCCCTCCATCACCACCTGCAACAAAAAACAGGTTTAGACCAGGGTTAGACCAGATTAAGAGCAGGTACAGTAAAAACCAGGTTAAGACCAGGTTTATTCCATATTGAGACCAGGTTTAGACCAGGTTTAGACCAGGTTTAGACCAGATTAAGACCAGATTAAGACCATATTTAGAGCGGGTTTAGACCAAGGTTTGACTAGGATTATACCAGGTTTAGGCCAGATATAGATTTTAGTCCTAGTTCAGTCCAATTCTTTCCATTTTAGCATCTCTCCCGCTTTGCCTTTGCTTTAGAATTAAGTTTTACCTTCCTTCTAAACCCTTTCAAACTTGTACAAAGTATTTTCTGCACTTCCCGCTCCCAGAGATCTTTTTTCTTTCCACTTTTCTTCGTGTCTTTGTCTTGCGCCGCATTCATCTGGTCCCTGTAGGCTCTCATTTGTCAAACACGTCAGCTCGTGTTAACTTTGTGCTTAGACCCTGGCCTCCCACTGAGATGATTGCTCCTCCAAATCACAGACGCCATTTTAACTTTTCATTTGTCTCCTTCTCCCTCTCCTCCTGTCCTGGTTTTCCGATCGGCGCTCGCAAACATTCTCTGCTGTGTGATTACTGTCAGTGCATTCTGAGGTAGTTTAATATGAGGACGGAAATGGGAATAATACATTCATAACTTTTGCCTGATTCTCAAAGGAAAATAGACGTCAAGTGACTAAAGTTAAGTAAAGTAACTAAGTAAAGTGGCAAAAGTAACTAAATAAAGTGACAAAAGTGACTAAGTAAAGTGACAAAAGTGACTGAGTAAAGTGACAAAAGTGACTAAGTAAAGTGACAGTGGACACATGAGGTCCCATTTTGCACATTCTAACATTATTTCAAATTATTGCAGAAAAGCACAACATGTTCAGTCTGGTCTTTACCTGGAAGTCTTTGAAAAAGTTTAGACTGGGATTAGACCAGGGAAAGAGAAAGAGATTCTCTTTTAGACAGAGTTAAATCTGGGGTTAATTGTGCCATCAATAATCCATGCTGTTTGTCCCAACAAAAAGAGTCTTTGGGGACTGCTTTAGTCTGCTCTTTACCTGGAAGTCTTTGGATCTCTGCTTTAGTCTGGTCTTTACTAGGAAGTGTTTGGGGACTGCTTTAGTCCGATCGGTACCTGGAAATATTTTGGGACTGCTTTAGTCTGCCCTTTACTAGGAAGTCTTTGGATCTCTGCTTTAGTCTGGTCTTTTAGCTGGAAGTCTTTGGGGACTGCTTTAGTCAGGACTTTACCTGGAAGACTCTGGGGACTGCTTTAGTCTGGTCTTTACCTGAAACTCTTTGGGGGATCGGGGCAGGATGGTGCGTCCCTCCCTCCACACAGGGCCCTGGTCGTTGGAGAGGGTCCACAGCAGGGTCTCGTCCTGCTGGTTGTCTCGCAGCAGAACGTTCAGATGCCCTTCCGCCTCCCCCCAGAGCTGGTAGGAAAACAGCAGGCAGAGTGGACCAGAGTCTGCTGCCACCACAGGGCTGAGCAGGCGAGCGCGCTGCCTCTGGGACTTCAGGCTGGCCTCCAGGTGCAGGTAACTGTTCAGGTCTGTGGAGGCAAGAGCACAGGGTCAGACTCAACAATAACAACAGGGGATTCTGTACCAAAGAGCTGTGGGAAAGTAGGACTTCAGCCAAGAGTCCACAGTGAGTTCGTGTCAGTCTGGTCTCTCCTATACTAAATAATTATCTTTTCTCCACATAGCAGGAGAATGGGAGAGGAGATAGAAAGCTAGATAAAGGGAGAGAAGAGAGAGAGAGATAGTGTGAGAGAGATATATAGAGTATGTGTGTGTGTGTGTGTGTGTGTGAGATAGAGAGAGAGAGACAGAGACAGAGAGAAATGACAAAGTAAAAAGTCTCATTATAATGTTTAGTCGCAAGCATTACATACAAGTTTTGGCTTGGGGTTAAACATCAGACTTTCCTTCTTAGTCTCTTTGTCTCATCCGTTCCACAAAAGCAATTCTAACAAACCGGGATCTCCCACAGAGTACAGTACTATCAGGAGACACAATCACCATCTGTCACAGCTGTAATGTCCACTTGTGTCCAAACATGGAAGGAATGAGCTGCTCCATGTGAAACAATGGGACAAGCTGATTATCTGGAAATTATCCCACAACCGGACGACAACACTCACACTCACAATACTCTACTGTACACAAGGGAAATACTGTACGCTCATTCTTAACAGTAACCTCTCTAAGGGCCTGGTCTGGTCTGTGGAGAGGTAAGTGAGGATGAGGACTGGGCAGGAGCAGGAGGAGGAAGAGGAAGTGTTCAGAAGAGGTCTCATTGTGATGAAGGGAGTGGTGAGAAGTGTGGGAAACTGCACCGCGACGCAGAAATTACATCAAAAGATACATAAACGGCAAGAATATGATATGTACAGTACTACTACTACTACTACTACTACTACAGCTACCACTACTACTACTACAACTTCTACTACTATCATCACTACTACTACTCTAACTACTACTACTACAGCTACTACTGCTACAACTTCTGCAGGTACTACTACTACAGTTACTACTGCTTCTACTACTATTACTACTACTACTACAGGTACAACAACAACCACTACCGCTGCCACTTTTATTCAATCTTTCTTTAGTGATAGAGTATGAGAGAGATATATGAAAGTGTTAGAAATTCAAAAAATATTACATATAATTGTTATATATATGTTTAATTTAAGTTGATTTTTATTTGTATTCATTGTAACGACATCATGTTTTATAATAAACAATAATATATGTTTCTCAGTCCTCTCTGTGTCTCTGATCCAGAACAAACATCTACAGAATCCTCCATTTATTACATTCATCAGATCATCTCCACGTCTCGCTCACGTCTTTATTGCTGTCGTGTTTTCTGTTGGCTCATAACGCGCCCCATAAATAACTTGCCGGTAAAAAATATTACAATTGGGTTCACGGCACGCAGCAAACAAAGGAGCCGTACGGGGCCCAGCGGGGTGCCCCTGACTCCAGCAGCAGAATAATACACTTAAATGGAGTTGTTAAAGCAGGTTACGGAAACAAATTAAAGGAGACGTATGATGCTCTTGTTAATAAGTGACGCTTACAATATTAAAGCTTTGTTAATTAAGAGAACAGAGAGAAACCAGAGAGGGACCAGAGAGTGAGTGAGTGAGTGAGAGAAAGAGAGAGAGACTAGAGACTAGTGACAGACCATAGGGAGAGACAAGGATCATTAAAGAAATATCCACAACACCAGAGAGAGAGGCCAGAGAGAGACCATTTTAGGTCTCATTTAATAGAAGTATAAGTATTAGTAGTACTTTCACACATCCACACCCACAAACAAACACTTTTCCAGGTCAAAAGGTGACGAGATCTCGGATTCGTCACAAAAAAATAAAGGATCAAACACGCAGTGGTTCTAATCCTGTTTGGAACCAGATCTCTGACCCCTGAGATATCAAAGCAAAGTGTTGTAGCGTGAGGAGGAACCAGCTCACATGAAAGCAGAGTCCGGACTTATGCCCCAATCCTCCCTCATCCACGAGAAACACAAGACAAGCTTTGAAGAGGGCTGACGCAGAGGAGATGTTTTTTTTACCAAAATAGGTAAGAGTGAAGAGAGCTCGGGTTAGAGCCAGGTGGGGTCGACATCTCCCCCAGAGCAGGGAGAAAACAGAGTCCTGGGAAATGTTCAGACCACAAAAAGTTGTCTTTCATTTATGAGAAAGCAACAAGAGCCCTACGAGTCTTGAGAGTTATTCCTGGTTTCCAAACATCCATGATGGTGATAAACTTCTATTAGCCACAACTGCCCTGGGGCACACCGACCGAAGTGAGGCAACTAGTCTGTTCCTTCAGCCCCTTCCACCACCAAACATTTACACGCACACCAGACTCATCAGACAATATGCGCCCAACTGTGGCACCTGGTCTCACATCACAGGACTAACCAGACCCTCACCTGCTTAACTTCAGAGGTCTGAAGAATATGGCTTTCACTTGGTGCCACAAGTAACAGCAACAGCAGCAGCAGCAGCAGCAGCAGTTGTAGTAGTAGTAGCAGTAGTACTAGTAGTAGTAGTAATAATAGTAGCAGTAGCAGTGGCAGCAGTAGTAGTAGTAGTAGTAGTAGTAGTAGTACTAGTAGTAGTAGTAATAATAGTAGCAGTAGCAGTGGCAGCAGTAGTAGTATTGGACTCACCATGACTGTGTAGGGACCATATGAGAGGAGCACTGGGGTCATGTGACCAGCCGCACAGACCGTGGTCAAAGTCACAGAGTCCGTCTGCAGGGGGCGCTATGGCGGCTGCAACAACAGGAAAGCTCTGTTAGCTACACACCATTGTGTCTGACAAAACCTTGAAAACACGTATTGTATAACAACAATATATAAATATACATATTCAACATTATAAAGGCTCACCTGTTGTTGTCATGGGATCAGCGGTGGTCTCCGTTGCCGTGGGAGGAGTGGGCGTGGCCGTGTCCGCAGGTGTGGACAATTCTGAACAGAAACAGAAAAAATATGATTAGAAATATATCAGGTTCATACAAAGAGAGGGTTTGGTTATTACTGCTTGTACATAACTATTACTTCTACTACTACTACTACTACTACTACTACTACTTCATATTCTTGAAGTCAACTCTCTCATCGTTTGTGGCCTCTTCTATTGTTCTAGTGTAGTGATCAAATTACAATGCGGAGCGGAGTCATAAATATTTGGATGAATCAATAATAGATGCAGCTATTGTAAATTCTACCCCTGTCAGGTCCACAGAGGTTCGTTTGGTTCCACTGGACGACGTTCTAGTAGTTTAGTGGTTAAACCTAAGCATTCACAAATGAATTGAAATGTGAATGCTGGAATGTGAATTTCAAAATGGTGAAATTCAGTTATTATTATTTTTTTAATAAAAGTACATCCCTAAGTCTTAGAAAGCATTCAAAATCTATGGGTTTTACATTATTAGGAGTCTAACAGAGGCAGGCATGTTGCAAAGATGTTTGCTTTCTTCCAAGAATCTGATTTGTCCTTCCTTATATGGCTTATATCTGGATTCAGAAAGATAATATCACAATATAAACGCTAGAGAGACCAGAGAGAGAGACCAAAGAGCGAGAGAGTGGAGAGAGACCATAGAGAGAGAGAGAGCGGAGAGAGACCAGAGAGAGAGAGAGCAGAGAGAGATATCAAAGAGAAAGACCGAGAGAGATCAGAGAGACCAGAGAGAGACCAAAGAGAGACAGAGAGAGACCAGAGAAATGCATCTTTTGTGTGAAAATTGTGTACAAAATCTGCCAAACCCTGGATGAACACATTTACCAACACCAAACTCCCGTCTCCAAAAACATCCCAAATTACTGATAAAAGTGTGTCAAGGAATCCCAGAAAGGGTGAAATTAGATTAGATTGTTGTCAGCGAGAAAAGCACAAACACTGAAAAGCAGGAAGGTTTCTCCTGAATTAGCTGCATTAACCCAGTTTCATAATCTGGTTTGGAATCAGTAGCATAAATTACAGATTGCAAATTCTCGTGTTTATTTACAAGAGGATACAACAACAGACAGAGTTCAGTGCTTTTAGCTGTCTATTTTTTCTACCTCATATAAAGTAGAAAAAAGCCATTTAGTATTACATTTATGTTAAAACTTTAAAGGTGGTACTTTTAAAAAGCAGCTAGAGGCCAAAGAGCAGAGACAATGCATTCATTTTGGGGAACGGTAAATGTGGTTGATGAACTAGTTCTGTGTGAAATCACGACACCAGATATTAACATGTTGAGGAGATCAGGAGACAGATACAATAAGTGATGATTGTGGCTATAGGCGCCTACTCCCCAGCTGTAGTAGCAGCAGCTGCAGGAGTAGTAGTATTAGTCGCCTTAGCACTAGCAGCCGCAATATAAAGAAAGAGAATATGATCCTCTGGACACTTTTTGGCTTGCCCATTTTGAACTTCGGTACGCGGTATCTGTCAACGATTAACTCAGAAAATTGGAGACGGCGATGTCTCCATCAGCACTACTCTACTATACTCTACTCTACTCTGCGTGACTCTACTCCACTCTACCCTACCCTACTATACTCTACTCTACATAGCTCTACTCTACTCTACACTACCCTACGCTTGGTAGCTCTACTCTTTTCTACTCTGCTCGGTCTAATCAGCCTCATATTCAACATTTCAAAAAACATGACAGATTATAATCCAACTCCACCTTCACCCTCTGCCACCACTTTACTCTCCCTCCACCATTAAAACCCTCAGTATTTACCTATGCTAATACCATCTGGTGTTTAGCATAATTCAAACCAGTCACAGCTCTGTCAACACCACCCCAAGCCCTCTCCCCGTTGGTTTGTGCCCCTGCTAAACGTCGGGCCGTATACTTGCTCCCCGGGGGATTATACACAAGCAGCCACTGCTTGTCATGCGCCTCACATCTGCACCGGCATTAGCATTAGCGTTAGCGCACTCTCTCTCTCTGTGGAGATTTACACACAGCTTTCTACATAATTGAAGATTTTTTTCCTGGCGTGGGACACTCTGCTGCGTCAGGATGTTGGAGTGACGGATGATTCTGCGAGTGGGAGGGGCCGCTTGACTGTCACTACGTCAAAATTTGAAATGTCTATTATGGGTTTGAGACTAGAGCGTGACCAGAGAGAGAATAGAGAGAGACTTGACAGACCAGAGAGAGACCAAAGAAAGACTAGAGAGAGAGACCAAACAGAGACTTGAGAGAGACCAGAGAGAGAGACCAGAGAGAGAGACCAGAGAAAGAGACCAGAGAGAGAGAACTGAAAGAGGAAGGAAATCACATCATTGTCAACATTTTCAAACATATTTTTTACAACTTATTTTTGATATACAATGCTATATGTGTCAATTTTACGCAGCAAAGTCGGACACAACATCACTACATTTCCCTCTCCTGTTTGCGTTAGAGCATCAACCCTGGCTCTTTGACCAAATCACAAATGTAAATCTAGGCTCGGAGCGGTTTGAGATTCTGTGCGGGTGCCTCTGCAGTGGGTGTCTCCTTACATAACGGGACGACAGCAGGTGAAGGCGAGAGGAGAGGCTGATTGTCATGCATGGGACGTCCCGGTACTTTCCCCCGCGTGGGTCCATTGGGGAGAGCCAGGCCTGAGGTAATGGATCGGAGAGGTCCCAAGAGAGACTTTAGGGGCCTCGCGGATATATATGTACCACGGTCAAGGGCGCACGTTTAAGAACATTACAATGTATGAGATTGCAGTTAGTGAGAAGGGAGTGGAGGCATAGAGAGAGACTCGAGAGAGACAAGTGAGAGAGCAGAGAGAGATTAGAGAGGGACCAGAAAGAGACTAGAAAGAGCAGAGAGACTAGTGATAGAGAGCAGAGGGAAATTAGGAGAGACCAGTGAGTGATTGGAGAGAGCAGAGAGACAAGAGAGAGACTAGTGAGAGAGAGAAGAAAGAGATTAGAGAAACCATAGACAGACTAGAAAGAGCAGAGAGAGTCCATGCAGTGACAAGAGATTGGCCTCTCTCTTATCTTTCTCTCGCCTCTCTCTGGTCTATCTCTGGTCTTGTTCACTCGCCTCTCTCTAGTATCTCTCTGGTCTCTCTCTCTGCTTCCCACTCAATGGGCCTGTATGTTAAGCCACATGTCAGTCAGACTGTTGCATACACTGGTGTCGAGCACAAACGCACAAGGTAGAAAATACACCAATTTTTCCCTCTTCTACTGTGACACAGAAAGGTCAAACCTCAACGCAGTGACAAGTCGTGACCTTTGGATCCACTGCTGCGGGGAATGTTAATCTGGGAAAAACAATTGTGTGAGAGTGAAACGGAACCAGAGAAATGGCGAAAAGCGGCTGTTTGTGTTTTGTTTTGTGAGAAATACGGCACGGTGGCTGAGTGGATCGCACTCTCGCCTCTGAGCAAGAAAGTCCTGGGTTCGAATCCCAGTCGGAACAGGGTTTTTCTGAGTGGAATTTACATGTTCTCCTTGTGCTTGCGTAGGTTTCCTCCGGGTACTCTGGTTTCCCCGACCAATAAAAACATGCACACTAGGTTAAATCCTCCAGCTCCAGTAGTCCTGACCAAACCAAGCATCAACATCTGGAGATGGGTTCCCGGGCGCTGTACTACGGCGACCATTGCTCCTGACGTAAGCCTTAGCGGCATCAGGATGGGGCAAATGCAGAGGATGAATTGCCCTAAGGGGATCAATAAAGTGCACCTTTACCTTTACGTATTTCAACGAGAAATACCAGTTCCCTCAACTGTTCTTTCATTTGATCTAAAGGCTATAGTTAAAGCTGGGGTACCTAAGTTTGTTTTGGTGTTGTGAAGAGACAAGAGAGAGCCCAGAAAGAGACCATAGGGGGCTAGGGAGAGACCAGAGAGAAACAGTGCGAAACCGGAGACAGAGGCTGGAGAAAGACCAAAGACAGACCAGAGAATAACAAGAGACCAAAGAGAGACAAGAGATAGAGATAGCAAGTTTTAAACAGAGGGGGGAGGGTAGATGTGCTTGTGGCAGATGTAAGTGTACAGTTTTGAGGTGACGTCACTTGATCAACGCAAGGATCACCAGAAGACCCTTGAGATAAATATCATATAATATCAATATCATTAATTATTAATGATAACATAGAGTTAAAGGTAAATTGAGCAAATTGGCTATTTCTGGCAATTTATGTAAGTGTGTAAAAAACTGGTAGCCCTTCGCATTAATCAGTGTCCGAGAAGTACCTCTTGGTTTCAAAAAGTTTGGTGCCCCCGATATAAACTGTGCAGCCATTTGTTTTGCACTGTTCCTGCGCCTGTTTTTGTTTGATCTTGTAGCTAATGGCGTCTTTTGCATACCTCCTGCACATGTAAATCGTTCATGTGTGGTCTCATATATTTACCACTTATTGTTTGTGCTGAATACAATTTAATAATAACTATGTTTCCATCAAGAACTGAGCATCACAGTTGAAATTACTTATGAAATAATGAGTCCATAGAACTATCACATAAACCTATGCCAAGAAACACATGTAATGAGCTCAAACAGCTTGGTTTGCTAATGTTTTTGTTCTGAAGAGGAGAAAGTAGCTAGCGTAAATGGGACCGCTTTGGTTTCCCAGGCAACTCCAGTGAGATTGCCATCACGGGGTTGGGTGTGGGAGAGCAACATTCTCTTCAAAACTCCGCAGGGGAACAGGCGAGTGTACCAGCAACTGTGGCTGCGTGGGTCCAGCGTAACCGCAAACGTAATACACTAGGCTTTACTGAGATAAAATGAGATTTTGAGGGAAATCAGTGTATTGTACATAGAAAAAATAGCAGCACTTCTGATTTACCAATGATTCCACAGCCTACATTTCCCAAAATGCATTATGCCCCCACATCTGCTCCTCATATGCTTCCTCTCCCGAGTCATTAGCTCTATTTCGGTGCGTTTTATTGGCCAAAAAGTGGCACTTCCTGAAGCCAGTAGCCTTGTGCCACAGCTTGACGCATATTGCACAGTTCATAAATGTCCTGACTTCTCTGCTACCAGTCGCTAACACCTTTTATATTGTTTTTATATTGTTATTTTATTCAAACCAAACATGCTCCTGTTTCCCCTTCTACTCTCTCTCTGTCTTTCATATGACTGGTTACAGAAGGACAATGCTAACCCGCTAGCACAATGAAGCCTAAAAAGGAAGGATGAAGTTTGGCTCCAGCTCACTCTGGCTTCTATTGAAAAGTAAACGCCTCTAGTGATATAGTTTTTTTTAAATCCAGATAAGATTCCAAGCAACTGACCAATCAGGGGCCTTCTGTCGCCAAATTCTGTAAACTACAGATTTCTTGAGCCCAAAATGGTGAGTGTGACAAGAACCTCTGAGTTAGAGGAGTTTACTTTACCAATAGGAGCAAGCGCAAGTTAGCATTGTCCATCTATATACAGCGTATGTTAGCATTGTCCATCTGTATACAGTCTATGTTAGAATTGCCCATTTATATACAGTCTATGTTAGCATTGTCCTTCTGTATACAGTCTATGGTTGTTACACATTTTGCCCAACGCATCTCTCAAGCGCTGAACCTCCATCTGGGGTGATGTATTCCTGATGTAATTCCCTGTTCAAGGCTTCTCCTTGATGAGTGGTAGAAGGACAGGAGCAGAGAGGAATAAAGCTCTGTCATTGTCGTACCTGGGAGGTCACATCCAAGGATCTCGACTCTCATCCCGATCCCGGCCGGAGACCACCTCTCTGGGTACAAGCGCACGAGCTGAGCCACCACCTCATCAAAGTGCCGGAGCTCAGGAGTATCGTAGTGCAGGTTCCCCTCAAAGATCTGTGGGCGAGAGAGCGGAAACAATAGCCTTATTCTACTCTTCTCTATTTGTGTAGTTATTCCACTATGGTTTTACCACAAATGGCAAATAAACTGAATCTGCGCTACTCTTCACAGTTTCAATGCAAGTGCAAGATCATTACAGATCATCATCTACTCTACTCTACCCAACCCTACCTTACTCTACTCTTCTCTCCTCTAACCTGTCAGGCCCTGTCACTTATTAAAACAACTTTCTAACCAATAAACATAAAAAGACATGATGAACTTTTTAAATTTAATAGCTGAAACGGTTAGCTTTGCCTACTAGCTTAGCCCATTAGCGTTATTTGTTAGCATACCTTGGGCATGCTTGTCTTGCTATCGATGACAAAGTTCCAGTCCTTGCCGGTCACACTGTAGGCCACTTTGTACTTGCGGACGAAAGCTCGGTTGTCTCCAGTGGCTCCGCTCTCGGTGTCTGTTCCTCTGGCGCCCTGAGTGATCACGCCACGCACGGTTTTCGGCACACCAAGGTCCACCTAAATGTCAGAAGAATATAAAAAATATAGTTTTAATGTTTCCTGATGTTTTTACAGTGTACTTAAAGCATTGCTCTAGGTTGCTTCTGCATGAATGGGGCTTTATGTATGTATACATTTGCTTCGTCTTACTTAGTCAAGCTCCTTAGCTTAGCACGTTGCCCTGTACCTTGGGCATGCAAAAATCTAGGCACAAAATAATCCATATGGTCCTACAGTGGTTCTCCTCAATATGTGAAGCCAAATATTGTCAAATAAACCTATTTTAAAATTTAGTACCATATAGTTTTAAAATGTTTGATCCCAGTAACCCCATATTACCGCTGCTGCCCCAGTTACATGTATTGAATTTAGATAGAGAATCTCACCTGGAGCCACTCCTCTCCAGCAATGGGTTGCACTGAGGCGGGGAACCAGCCCGAGCGACTGGCCACCAGGCGGGCAGTGGCCGGGCTCCAGACCATGTCCCGGGACGACGAGGCCGAGATCTGAGAGTCCGGGAGTAGACCAGAGAGCATGCCCTGCAGCTCGGAGCACGGAGCGTCTGGAGAGAGAGAGGGGAGTCTGTGAATTTAATTTCCCTGACATTAAATGAGACACAAGAAGAGCTGGGGTTTGTTCTATGAAGCTTTTTATTAACAGCATTAAAGTCTGAGCAAGGTCTTGTCTAGTCCCAATAGCACTTGCTGGGACCTTATATCGGCCTGCACACTTATCAAACACATAAACATTGCAAAACATGGCTGTGAAATTAACCTATGGATGCAACGTAGGCATTTTAGATAGATAGATAGACCTTTATTGTCCCCTGAGGGAAATTCATTTCCACTGACACTGTCACATACATAGAATGCAGGAACAAGGACAACATTATGTTGTTAAGAGCAGTGAACAGCAGTGTTAAGACAATTGTGCAGCACGCTAACAACAAAAATCAAAAGCTCACAAGTGACATAAAGATCCATAAACGTGTAAACTTTGGTCCAACTGGTGTCCAACAGGGAAAATACAGGTGTGACTGAGTGTGACTGTGGGACTACAGATGGAAATTAGCAACAAAAATATTTACAGTTACTGCTATTCACACTCTATAGGGTAAAAGAAAAACACACTTTTGAGTATGTAACCATGTTGCAACCATACATGTATGTATGTATACTGTATACTGATGGACAATGCTAACTTGCTAGCTCATCTATCTACGGTCTAATTTATGGATTTAGAAAAATGAATGGATTTGATTGCATATAAAGAAATTGTCAAAGGGCTTCCACACGGGATCACTGTTGAGACGATTTTAATTAGAAATGTACATTTACAGAAAAGAATATTGCATTTAAACAGCAATAATAGAACATAACATTAGTTTTATGAACTATTCATAAAGGCATTGTGCTAATTCTGCTTTTACGTTGACGGCATTCAAGCCTTTTCCCTATGTATGTACTTAGCATTATCAGTGAAGTGGAGACGGGGGATGTGCGTTCAATTAAAAGCTCCATTAGTGGGACGGAGAGACACGTCCTGTTTTGCATTCACTCAAATATTAAAGGCGTTTTTTTTTATAACACGGTGGATAAGAGTCATTGCGTTTGTCTGATGGATTGGGTCATGGCTGAAAACATGCAAAAATACATGAATGTGATCTACAGCCTGAGTCCTGGAGCTACAGCCTCAGACCTGGATCTAGAGCTTCAAACCTGGATCTACTGCCTCAATCCTGGATCTACAGCCTCAGTCCTGAATTTTCTGCCTCAGTTGTGGATCTACAGTACAGCCTCAGACCTGGGTCTACTGCCTCAGTCCTGGATCTACAGCCTCAGACCTGGATCTACAGCCCGTCCGTCTGTGGGAAGAGATCCCTCTCTTACTTTTTTCTCAATGGGTTTTTGAGTGGTTCTTTGCCAATGCAGGAGTTTATCAAATAGTTCCATTCTTGTGGGTTGAAAGTTAGAAAACCCAGCTTTAAGTCTTGATATAGGGTTAGGGTTAGAATTTCGTTCCAGAAATTTTGCTTGTACCTTGTTCTGATACGGATTACTAGAATTGACACAGAAGAATTTATCACATCTGCTTCTTCCATGACTTTGCTGCATGGATTTTAATATATCCTAATATAGTCCTTCAAACTCTTTTAAGTCGTAAAGCCGTTGGCAAGAACAAATATGAGAAAGAAAATTAGTCTGTTTGTAACATGAGTGGGAGGAGCAAGCAGCAGCAGCAGCAACAGCAGCAAGAGCAGCAGCAGCAGGAGCTCTCAGACTGAAGTGAAGAAGTGAGTGAGTCTTTAAGCGCACCACTTTTCTTCTGTAGGATTAGCACTTAATGTTAACGGAAAATGTTCATGTTTTTGACCTTTTAAATACAGATTAACAAGATCAAAGACATGAGGGAAACTTCAGCTTGCCTTAGCAATTGTCTTAGCTGCACGTCTACCCTTGTTATAGGGTGAAGCTAACGCAGTTGGAACAAATGTTCATATAATGAAATTGGCTCCAGCTTGTGTTCAAATCGGTCTCCTCCTTATTAATAACCCAATCCTAATATAGGCTCTATGAGAAAACCACATTTAAGACTTTCACAGACCTGTTATAGTTTATGTATTTGTAAATACAGGTAAAATAAAATATTATTTTAATACTATTATTATACTATATTGCATATGTGTGATATGACTGATCTCTGTGACTGTCTTAAGCCCTCTACTCTACTCTATTCTACTGGTCCTGTTTTACCAGTACCCGCAGAACCCTCAAGCTCCCAGGCCTCGGGTAGAGGACCCGAGCTTAGAGAGGGATAACCGCCCGCGGAGGGCCAAAGGTGAGTGGACAATTTTTTTTTTTTATATATATATATATATATGTGTATATATAAGGCATTGTACTTCACATATGTTGACTAATAAAAAGAGTTATGAGGATCTTAATACTATATTTTTCCACAAAAAGCTCTTGCGTTTACATGTACAGTAGTCTTGTTTGTTGCTTCTATTTTTAGCCGAAACCTGAAAACCCCCTTTTGCCTTTGATACGGCCTCGTCCCGCGTCACATACATTATTTACTTCTCCGGTTTGTGACATAACACCATGAAAATTTTATCTGCAAAACTCTTAAACCGTCAGCATCACTAACGTCTGCTCAAATCTCCAGCTGCACCTTCCACATGTTACCGTCAGTGAGAGACGAACAGACTCCTCTCTCACTGGTGCAAGATATAGTGCTGTAGATTGATTGTCTCTCATTACATTCAGTGATATTGTAAGTCGATTTAGTTGGGCGAACCAGAGCACTGGAGATGTGGGGAGAACATTCAAAGTCCACACAGAAAGAGAGAGAGGGCCAAGTGAGAGACCAGAGAGAGAGAGAGAGAGACCAGACAGAGAGAGAGACCCGAGAGAGACATCAGAGACTAGACAGGGATCAGAGAGAGCGAGACCAGAGAGTGAAACTAGAGAGAGAGAGACCAGAGAGCGAGAGAGACCAGAGAAGGACCAGAAAGAGAGTTCCAGTTTCCTTCATGAGACCATTCACCTGTGATCTGGCAGCCGTACAGCTCGAAGCGCAGGGCAATCCCGTTCTTCCAAGTCTGTGGTCGGATCCGCACGAATCGGGCCAAGACCGGCTGAGGCACACGGTTCAACACCACCTCAGCTGGGTCTGTGTTTGCGTGGAAGATCTGCAGAGAGCAAGACACAGTATCAAATGTGAGAAGTGTTATAGGTCTGCTCCTGATCTAGAATCTGCTTGGTGCATTTTCTCAGTCCTGGATCTACAGCCTAAGTCCTGGATCTACAGCCTCAGTCCCTGGATATACAGCCTCAGCCCAGGATATACAGCCTCAGCCCAGGATCTACAGCCTCAGTCCTGGGTTTACAGCCTCAGTCCTAGGTCTACAGCCTCAGTCTCCCTATAGACTAATGGCTCTTAGGTGTTTGCTACAGTTTGATTCCCTGATTTGTTGTTGGGGAACCCACAAATTTATAAAGTCCTCCGAGATGACTGCAATTGTGACTTAGGACCAAACACAAATTAATCAAATTGAATTTAAATCTATGTTAAATCTGATGCGCTTTAAACTTGATTCAAATCCTCAAGACAAAAACAATATCAGTAAACAAGAAAGCAAAGATTTGTGGGTGAATTGAGTAAGTAATTCGAGGCCTTGTTTCTTGTTCCCCCTGGATCTCCAAATGCTTGTTTCTCTTATCTCCCCCATCTCCCCCATCATCACCCTCCCGCAGAGACCGCCATGGCCCATAGACCAGTCACAGATCAGGTGTCGCTGCCCATCTGTCTGCGTGTTTTAGGGTCAAAAGTTTAGCAGCTACACGTTCGTGGACAAGCCCAACGCTGAGGGCGGAGAGGGGGGTAAGAGGAGGAAGCAAAGGGATGCACCAGGAGACATGATTGGCCCATCCATCATTCGCAACAGGAAGTGGCTCCAGGTGGTCAGGATGTTGGAGAAACTGAGTCCAAACGGAACGTAATAAAGGCGACAATAGACCACACAAGAAAGCGGAGGGATCATATGGACGGGTCAGCAATTTTGCTTCAAAGGATTAAAATACTGCCTTTTTTGCATATTTTCCACCTCGATGTTGCAATGAATACGACTTGACAGAACAAAAATTCAGTCTGGTGATTTATGATCCTAAAACAGCACAGTCTGTTCTGACTGAGTATTGGTGATTTCTATCACTTTTAAAGTGTTGAAAATATTGAAAATGTTACAAACAAACAAGACCTGAGACTTATTATTTGACTGAGAGCTGATTGGCTGAGTGATGGTGGGCCTCTCGTTTCTGTCTGAAAAAGCTAAAGATGTGACAGAGGCCAGAAACACATGAAAACTAGTGATAAATGCAAACTGTTTTTAGAGCATGGAGTAAAAATTGTTGTGCTTTGAAGTTACCTACCCCATGCGTGCTCAATATTCGTTCTCATGTCATAAACGTTCTTTTCCCTTCAGAAAGTGAACTGTAAATGCAAATAATGTGGGTCTAAAATGAGCCACTATCTTCAATCTTAATCTTAAACATTACAACTATTGTGCACATGTCGGGAAGAGCCTTGCAAGTCACTATGTGCCACTTTGGGCTGGTGGCTGATGTGACAAAGGAACACATGACGGATAGGAACAAGTTAGTTAAATGGGAGACCAAAGAGAGGACCCAGAGAGAGACAATAAAGAGAGACCAGAGACCAGAAAAAGAGACCAGAGAAAGAGATACCAGAAAGAGAGACCAGAGTAAGAGACCAGAGAGCACGAGAGACACAGTAGAAAAACCAGAGAGAGAGAAAGAGACACGTAAGAGAGACCAGAGAGAGACCTCAGAGAGATCAGAAACACTTAGAGCTGCTTGGCTTTGACTCTTCTGTCTGTAAAAACTGATCTAGAGATGTGGCTTTAGATAAAATTAAGACAAGTAATTCATCTGTGTCTGAACTTTTTTGTTTTTGCTGATGGGCGGCTGCGTGGGACCAAACAGGTCAAAGGTTAAATTGAAGCAGGGTGGCCAAGTTGCTTCCTGCTTTGGGTTGAGGTCCCTAAACGATCAAAGTCTCTGAATGATGGACACATGAGAGGCCACTTCTACAGGGACGATGTTTTCTAAATATATTCCAAAATAAGGTAAATTCTTGAAATAGCAGCTGTATGTGTTAAGGCTGTAAAACCCTCACACACATTTTTTATACTTTTCTAACCACCTGAACTCGCGAATGCTGAAGTGAGAGAAACCAGAGAGAGACAGGGACATTGGGCCTCATTCACGAATAACTTCGTAAGAAACTACTCAACTTTCTTCTCAAGTTGTCCTTAAGTAGATTTCTAAGAAATCCCTACGTGGGATTCATCAACGCACTCGTAAGCCGCTGAATTGTTCGCAGCTGTTCTCTCAGATTGATGAATCCCATTTCCTCGTAAGTACAGCGCGCGTGCCAGGTGCTTCATTAGCATAGGTACTTAGCATAAGTAACCGCCCATTAATGCCCATATAAGGGGATGCAGGGCCGTGTGCAGACGGCTGAGGAAACAGCAACAGGCCTAAAGCAGGCCTTTTTTCTTCTTTTACCAGACTGAGAATAAAGTTATAAAATGTTGACTTAAAAGTCGAAATATTATGATAATAAAGTCGAACTAGCAAAATTATGAGATTAATCTAAGAATATGATGAGATTAATCTCAAAATGTTATGAGCTTAATTTAAAAATATATTATGTATTATTTTAAAGATGAATCTCAAAATGTTTTGAGATTAATCTCAAAATATTTTGGACCCTGGGAGGAGATCCAGCGCGGAACAGCGCTGAGACCAATGCAGACCCGAGGAGAGACTGGAGTGACCAGCACACAGAAACCAGCGCGGACCTATAGGAGAGACCGCATAGACTGGAGTGACCTGACTGGAGAGACCGGTGCGCAGAGACCAGCGCGGACCGAAGATAGACCGCATAGACCAGACTTGAGAAACCAGCGCGGACCCGTATGGATCCAGGAGCATGCAGCACGGACCCGTATGGAGAGAGACCAGTGCAGACCCGTATATGGGAGAGACCAGTGCAGACCCGTATAGATCCATGGGAGAGATCAGCGCAGAGACTCAGCGCGGACCCAGTAACCTCCTGCAGCAGCAGTATATATGCCGTTGTTCTGTGGCCCGTGGATAAAGAAATGCCCCCTATAAATAGGAAGGGGTCACTAATACACGGCAAGATTTCCAATGTATTTGATAAAGCGTTGGCACATTTCATTTCAAAATGAATTAAAAAGTAGGCCAGATCTGCAGTGAAAAAGGCGGTATATAAATAAAGATTACTAATAAAGATTACTACAAATAAATAAATACATACATCGATATGACGGACATATCACTGGAATGTTGTATTTTTTTATTCAACTTCACCAAAGAGGACAACCCCGGCGTGTGAACATGTCGGCACTGAATGCGTACAAGTGCTCCTGAGGACTCGTAGGATTTGTACTTGCCCAAGAGAAATTCTGGTTACGAGAAATATTCGTGAATGCCACTTTCTTCGTAAAAACCGCGTAAGTAGGATTTACGTACAAATCTGTTCCTAAGAACCGTTCGTGAATGAGGCCCAATGTCTCTATCTCCAGAGGGATATCTCTGGTCCTTATCTCTCTGGATCTGAGAAAGAGATAAGATTTGCAGGGTCAAAACAAGCCATCTCAAATCTAAAACATTTAAAAGTTATAAAAGCCTTGACGAAAAATGACAACGATTTCCTGTCCACTTTCTGTATCTTACCCCATTTCCATTACATAAGAAGTATACATAAGTACACGTGTATTGGCTTTTTAAATGTGCTCTCAGCCCAAAATCTGTTTACATTGCACTTTATGAATCAATATGGCGGCACCACCTACTTTTTCCACTTGTCCCAAATCTCCCCAAACGTTCTTTCAAGTCCATAATAGCAGATATAAAGTGTGTAATGACAGACGCGACTCAGGTTTATCATTAGCAAACTCTCTTCCTCTGGTTCTTGTTTACGTTGCTTTCATGCAGCCACCTCCTGCTTCCTGCCTAAATCCCCATTCTGAAGTTTGAAGTGCTATCTCTCCACCTCCGCAAAGGTCCTTACTCCAGATTAGGACCGACCACAAGCCCAGATAATCTCACAGAGGAAGTGGGTTTGAGGGAGGAGAGCGGGAATACGCCTGCTTTTACAGCTGTTTGGTCATGGTGGTTCAGAGCTGGTTTAGAACTGGTTCAGATCTGGGGAAGGCCTGATTCAGACCTAGTTTAGATCTGGTGTAGACAGAGTCCAGTCCTGGTTTAGATCTGGTGTAGACAGAGTCCAGTCCTGGTTTAGATCTGGTGTAGACAGAGTCCAGTCCTGGTTTAGATCAGGTGTAGACCTAGTTCAGTCCAGTTTTAGTCCTGTTTTAGTTCTGGTTCAGTCCTTGTTTGGACCTAGTTTGGTATAGTCCTGATTTAGTTCTTGTTTAGTCCTTGTTTAGTCCTGGTTCAGTCCTGGTTTTGTCCTGGTTTAGGAGCGACAGTGGCTCAGTTGGTAGAGCATTGGCCTTTGCCCACCGCAAGAAATTCTCCACCGACTCACGGATGTCTGCTGTTGTTGTGTTCTTGGGCAAGACACTTGACCTCTGGGACGGCTACGACTGTAGATTGCCAAACTGCCGTTGTGTCCTTGGGCAAGACACTCCACCCACATTGCACCACAGTTTCCGTTGAAACTTAGGTACCGCAGCTTTAAAACCAAAACATCGCCTCTAAAATAGTCCTGTGATAGTTCAGACTAGTGTAATTTCTGGTTTGTGATTTCGCCAGTATCTTTGTGAGCAGGCCTAGCTCTGTGCAGCCTCCCGCTTGACTTTGTCTCTTGGTGACATAAGACCAGCCGGACGCCCTCTCAAACACGCCAAATTAAACTTTGATACAAAGAGCTGCGTACATGAGTTTACTATTACCACGACACTGAGCCCAGAGAGTTAGCAGAGAGTAGGAAATGCATGTTGTGTGTTCAAAAAGAAAGGAATTATTTAGATCTGAAAGTCAACAACCGCCAAAATAAGGCGTTGCTACTGCTACTGCTACCACTACTGCTCCTACTACTACCACTACTGGTGCTACTAGAGCTTCTGCTGCTACTACTACAACTACTACTACTACAATTACTAGTACTACTAGT